CGAATCACCTCGTACTCTCTCACAACCCGCATGCCTCGGCCCCCACCCCCGTATGCCGCTTTGAAGATGATGGGGAATCCGTAGCTGTTGGCAAACTCCTGAGCCTCCTGCAGCGAGGAGATGGGGCTCTCCGTCCCCGGGACCACCGGCACTCCTGAAACAGAAAGCAACCCCCCCCACAAAAAGAAACAGCATCAGGGACCCCTCGAGAGAACTTGCCCATCCATTAGGGTTGGGGGCGTCTTGCCGGGCATGCCACGTTTCTCATCAAACACCAGAGGTCACTGTTTTTATGACGCTCTGCTAAGCAAACAAACACGCAAATAGGGCTGTAGGTCATGGACACGGCTTATCTAGAGCTCCAGGTTTATGAGATCCAAACCAAATAACTGGATCGAATCCTAAACTCAGAGGTAACATTGCACAATTCCGGACAAACCGGCCACATAATTCCCGGGGCAACATCATTTCCATTGGGCCCCTCCCATGACGCACAACAGTTCTCCCCAGTTGTCGCCGTCAGAAACGGTGGGCTTGATTTCCAAACAGACTAGTGAGTAGGGTCATCTACCCACCGGCTCCATCTACTGGCAGTAGGCACACCTACAGCCGCACGAAGCTCTCACCGGCGCCGATGGCGATGGCTCGGGCCTCGATCTTGTCGCCCATCTTGCGCACGATGTCGGGGGGCGGGCCGATGAAGCGCACGCCGGCGTCCGCGCACGCCTGCGCAAAGTCCCAGCGCTCGGACAGGAAGCCGTACCCGGGGTGGATGGCGTCCACGTGGTTCTCCTGCAAGAGCAGAGGCGGTGGAGGTCCGGACGGAGGATCAGAGCGCGCCATTAAGGGGCAGGGTCTTTGCACAAGGTCACAGGGGTCATGAATACAGAGATAAAAGAAAATTAAGGGAAAATTATTAATGGATGCTTTGCCATTTGCACTAGTACGAGTGCAATTACATCGAAATCCTTTAACTGAATCTGCATGGCCCACCTCGCTCTTATTTGGGACGTACACATACATATGGTTGAGATTGAAGCTTGGGGTCTAGACCCAGGGTCAGACCATTTATACGGGACCCTTGGGACATTTGAGGGGGTTAAATGCCTTGCTCAAAAGCCCAAACAATATGTGACTGTCACTCAAGATGGGATTTGAACCCGCAACCTTCTGATCGCAGGCACAATATCCTAACGACCGCAGAGTGAAATTCCGTCCCTATCGTCTGGGACAGTCGAGTCGGAATGCCCGTCCCGGCGCCGGTATAAACGCACCTTTAGGCGTCAAACTTCTGTAACACCAAGAGCATTGCCAGATGACACACTGCTGCTTTCAAGCAGTCCAGGCTCCGATCTCCCAGTCATGCAAAAATCAAAACTTAAGCTCTCGAGTTCCCATCAAAAGCTAGCGCTCCTGCCTCCTTGAGAGTTATTTTCGGCCTTTCTGGCAGGCCCGCACGCTCCCCCGTTCCAAACGAACCAGTCATTTCAGCCGTGAGTCACGCAGAGGATGGGCAAATCAGGAGATGTTTTAATTGTGTAATTGGGGAACGCAGCGCGACGCCTACACTGGAACACCGAGAACCTGTCCCCTTGTTTCAAAATGATACGTGACAATTTATTGGACAAATTAGCGGTTTAATTTACGCGGAAGTCTCATTCACATTATTGCTCAATTCCGCTGCCAGGTTTAACGGCTGAGTGTGACAGACTACTCGTACTTTATGGAACCAAAAGACAGAATCACCCCGCGGTTCAGTTCAAAACATGGCACTCAAATAAATGTTTTTAAATTGGGCTTAACAGGAGCTTTATCCAACGCGATGTACAAGTGAGAGAACAGGATTAGCCTGGAGCAATTAGGGTTAAGGGCCTCGTTCAGGGGTCCAATGGCGAAATCACTCAGCCAGGTAGGGATGCCCTGATTTTTTGGTACCCAGATTTGATCCAGTCAATATTTATAGTTTCCGATTCCAAGCCCCAGTTCAATCTATTAATAAATATTTAAATGTACATACACATCAGTGCATTCTCGGTCTGAGCATGCCTCATGATTTCACAGTATTCTTCCTTATGATGCTTCTGCCTAATGAGATTTGTTGTTTAAAGCGATGCTCTGTTGCTGCCTATCCAAAGGGTGGCATCGCAAACACTGCAGGTAGCTGCTGGCCTACTTTGAGATTCCAATTTAAAGAATTTCTACAATGCTGACACCTCGATGGTTTGTAGTTTCAGACCATGTGCCTGCAGCGTACTGTAGCGGGTGACTGAATCATACAACCTGCACAACTGACATAATTTGAGCAGATGCTGGAAACTCATACCCTGTCAGATACTCGAATATCAGGGGTGTAAGATTAGCCATGGACACTCAACACTAATCAATCTAAAAAATGCCTGGACCAGCCCCGATTCCAATATCTGATGTCGGCTCAGGACATCACTGCTGCCAAATATGGGCTTTGATCCAACAACCTTCTGATCAGAGTCCTAACCCACAGAGCAACACACCACCTACTATAAAAACAGACACACAACCTATGTAAATATAGCCACTGGGGAAAACGACTTGGGGTCAAAACCCAAGCAAGAACACCCTGGCATCCCGGAAGGCAGGCATCTCACCTTAGCGACCTTGATGATGTCGGGGATGTGCAGGTAGGCGGCCACGGGTGGCAGGCCTCTGCCGATGAGGTAGGCCTCGTCCGCCTTCTGCCGGTGTATCTGGCCCGTGTCTTGCTCTGAGTAGACCGCCACAGTGCGGATGCCCAGCTCTGTGCAGGCCCGGAACACGCGGATCGCGATCTCACCTGGGTCGGGATATTAAGCGGATTTGGCGGGATGGCAGAGAACACCGGGAGTGGCGTGGGGTGGCGGGCGAGTGCCCGTACGCCTGCTCCCAGACATCCCTTGGCTTAATCGCACCAATTTGCTGTTAATTACATGCACCAGTCGTTCCACAAATTATTCCCAAAATACGGCATTAAAAGGAGATTTTCATAAACACAGCAAATGAGTCATTCAGAGATTCGATAAACAGTCCAGCCCAGACTAATGAACACAGACTATGTCCTAATACAGCTGACATAAGAGCCGTGTCATGTACATAAAGAGCACAAAAGTGGGTTAAAAAAATAATAAAATTAAAAAAAAAAAAAAGAACGAGGGAAGAAGGAAAAGGTAGAGCAAACAACGACCAATGAGAAAGAGCCACAACATGAGAAAAAAAATGAATGAATAAATGGGCAACTAAACTTAGGGGGAGGGGTTGCCAACAGGTGACTCATTATCTGCAGTTTACATAATGATAAATATTTCAGTGCATTCCACTGGCAGCCTGACTGGCTATAAGGTCTTAATAGCATGTGTGTGAAGTACGTGCCAAGCTATGCATTCAGCCATTAGCAGTGTTTACCACCACTCAAACCATGCATTTGCTTGGGGCCCCTGAGTCATTGCAGTGGTAGGGGCCCAAAGTGACCCCAGAAATAACAGACCCACCCCTGTACTCAGAGTCCCTTTTAGAGCGGGCAGAGCCTGCCATCCACAGCTGCCGGAGACCATTCGCCTCTGAATCCGTGCCACAAAACTAGCTTATTTGGGACACTAGGGGGCGATATGGAGCACACTCAACTACTTGGCCGGGACTGTGCTAAAACACTAAAAACACTGCTAATTATTACGATGAAGAATGCCTTTCTGGGAGCCCATTTACTGAACCACCAGTGCTCTCAAGGCTGAACACTGATTACCGCATACTTATCTCATGATTACTGCAGCCATTTGTTTTCTTAATAGGGCCAAACCAAGCTGAAAACATCACAATTAAGAAGCACCGAAGGCCTCACTCTCTGGAAAGAGCCTGGATTTTTCTTCCAGGACGTTTGATTACATGCATTTAAGGGTCCCATCAAAAAAGAACAGCCATTCTTAAAATCAAACATCATATTTACTAGAGATGCTCCGATCAGCATTTTTGGGGCCGATCACCGATTACCAAGATCATGATCTGCCGATTGCCGATCACTTCCGATCACAGAATGGCAGGGGAATGGGAATCTTTTATCTATAATCTAGCAGAGTTTGCACCATTTGTAGAAATGAAACTAACTCTAAATTAACTATATTGAAAAAAAAAAAAAA